GTCAACATGAAGCGTAACCGATATAAATCAAGCAGATAGATCTAAAACCGTCAGAAATACATACGAAAGCAATTGAAATGAACTTTACTTTCAATTCAAGGGGCAAAATTTGAAATTGTTCGTTAAACTTACAATCCCCATGCGACCATTTCTTTCAACAATTCAAACACTACTAGTGTTCAAATTTCCGTCGTCGATTCCACCGCAAGAAATAACCTGTGCCACCCAAGCTTCGACTCGAATGTGAAGTACGAATCAAATAACATAACTGCTTCATCTTCGCGGCAATATCACGCTGGTATTTTTATTTTACGGTCGACAAGAACGGTAATCAGGAATCGATCGGTTTGTTTATCTCATAAACGTGACAGCATAGCGCGGGATGGGGTGGGTGGCGGGCTTATCGTCATAAGATATTCGAATACATGCTCAAAAAGCTCTAGGACTATCAGTCTAAACAGTGAAGGCATGCTTCGTGGTACAGGCAACTTTTATTTTATTCTCATAACTTTCTCCTTTAAATTAGAACTGGTATTTATTAATAGAGTTATCAATATATTTTTAACCGGGTGCCCATATAACCTTTTTGCTTGTCATCTGTGGTATAAAATAAGGTGTCTTTTCCACCAGAACCTTTTATTTATGCCCCATTGCACGGAATGAACACTATACTTAGAATGTTTGCTCTAAGTAATTTTTTCTCTTCCAAGAATGTATGCAAAGTGATAGAGATTTGATTCATTCCGCTGACACGTTCTTTTAAGTTATGGCGCGTGCAGGTTTTTTTCTATCAAAAGTCGCGCATGCAACACACCGGAATTGAAAATTCGTCGTAAAATTGCACGAACCTTAGAATGAGTGTAGGCAGCTTTGACTTATGGCGAGATTAAGTGGATTGTTCAAAGGACCCCCTGAGATTTTTTTCAGGACTATAACTGAGATTTGTTAATAACTATGATAATCGTCATCATTAGCGGACGGTGCTTTTTGCTCATTGTTGTCATCATTATCGTTATCACACCGGAAGAAGTATAAAGCCGGCATGTCTCCTTACCTAGCTACACAGAAAATTGTTCTCTCTTTTGCTTCCCTTGGATCCTGGAAACTGTTACTATTAAAACGATCAACAAGAAATCCTTTATAATTATTGAAACTTTTGATGAACGGAATGTAAGAAAAAAATCGGTGGAGAGAGTTTTTCGGGTATCTTATTATCTGACCGATAGTTTTAAATGAAACAAATAACACTTAATTCAATTTACCTTAGTTGTCTCGTGTTTAAAAGTGGCGTTTCTGGACCGTCTGATTCTTCTTGTCTCAGCCAAGACTCGCTATCATCAACTTTTTTCTTGTGCTTCTTACGGCATGAGACACAGAGAGCTGAGGTAAGCGATTGCAAATTTCTCAGTTAAAGTAAAGCCCAGTAGCATCCATCAGGAATTAAAAACCGACATGCACTGTTTACTTTTATTATTCTTAATCAAATAAGGGGTGTTTTAGTCTGCAAATGTAATCATACTGGTTAATGAGAATCATACAAACTGAGGAAAACTGACCGCAGATAATTGTGAACCGTACGCATGAGTAAGTGTTTTGCGTTGTCAGGTGATTTGATCTTCTACAAAAACATTATTGATTATCAATCGAGCAACATTGTACATATTTCCATCTGTAATTAAAAGCACTTACACATAGATCTATTTTTTTTCAACGTGATATGTACTTAAGTACCCTTCATCTAATAAAGAACTTC